AAGGCTTTGAAATGTGTTTTACCACAGTTTCCCCAAACAAGAATGCAGTATGTTATGGATGGAAAGATTACTTTCCAGTAAAAATCTTCCAGCATATGCCTCCAAGGAATACACGTTTTATCTTTTGTCTTTCAACACCAACAAATTGAACATCGTTCACGTTGTTTGTCTCCTTGTTCTCATGGATTGTGTTTCGTCCTGTTACTTTATTCCCTGATTCATTAGGTGCGTTAAGTTGTCCGCCACCTTGCGTGATCTCGCTTGCGCTCTATCCTTTTGTACGAGGCTTTTCTTGACTGTGGTAGTCTTTAAGGTCTCCACTTCCTGAGTGTCCGGTTTTCTGTTATTTTCTACTGGATCTGCCCCTTTTCCGTGTTTTGACGGATTTGCATCTATGCTCTGGGGTTCCGCCACTGGGTTCTTTGAGGATTTCCGTTTACTTAAATTGCTTTCACCATGTCCTTGGTGTTGCTTTTTCTTGATACGGTCGAGATCCCTACTTGTGTTACTGACTTTGTTTCCCATAGTCTCTAAGTTAGCTCTTCGGCATTTCCCTTTATTTCCTCTTTAAACCGCTCGTGAATGGCTTTTGATTGTCCTTTGAGGCTTGATATCTCAGTTTCCAACGTTTGGATTTTTTAATCTTTAGCTTCCAACACAGAATTGAGTTCATTAACTTTATTTTCAAATCTTTTGACTGATTCAGCGCATTCTTCCCTAACTGCAAGGAGTTCTGCTCTCATGTTTTTTACTAAGACTAGGATGTCTTTGCAGGACATTTTCTCATCCGAATGTTTGGTTTTGGTGACTGGATGTGAATTGGAATTCACCTGGCAAAACGTATCTGTTAGACTTTGTGTAAGGTCTCTCGACTTCCAACATTTCCTCGCTTCACCGGGTGTTGACAAACCATCCGCTCGACTTGGGGTAACTTGACTGAGTGGTTTCTCTGCACCAGCTTCAGCATCACTACACCAGTGAATTGTGTTTACCACACCTGATTCACTGACAACTGATAGATCGGATGATCCATTTTCGTTTTTGAACATGTCCTTTAACCCCATTGTGACAACCCCGGTATTAAAGTACTCGTGTATTTCACAAATATCATTTGCCAAACGTTCTTCCAAGGTCGAGAACTTGCTGCATCCTTTCGGTTTTCTTCTAATATAAGGGTCACCTTTTGGGAAGGTCTCAAATTGTCTCCCTTTCTCGACCAATTTTAATCTAAATTGCGTCAAGCTGTCAATATCTCCCTTCCCAATTAACTCTGCCACGATGTCATTTCTGGGTTGCTTTGAAATTTTCTTAATCAGAGCTTCAATTTTATCTGACATTTCAGAACTGTTTTGTAGTTCAAAATTGCAGGCCTACTTAAGCGTTCCTGGAGAACCAGTCCGCATAAGAATCGAACAGTACTGTAAGAACTCAAATTGACGTTGATTTTGGAGTTATCCTCTTGAAAAGTGCTAAACGTTTCACAAGCCATTTATGCAACATGAGCGGCCGTGTTGATATACAAATTCTCGCCTTCGGCTCGATACGATAATTACTTATACTGTCAATTTTAGATTACTTTTCTTCACAACATTTTAAATTCTGTTTGAAGGGAGTAAAGGTGGACAGTTTGGTAGAAAACGCGAAGTCGGGCTGAAAACGCTAAAGACTGTTGTTTTGAGAAATCATTGATCAGTTCTAACTTGAATATAACTCGAATTTTTGGGCTTCTTCCAAATTATAGTTCTGTACAGTAAATGCTTCGCAATTTGACTATGTTGCAGCAGTTGCACAGGTTTGCGCGCTTTACACAATGATATTCAGCAATACTGTAGCTCAACTATATTCAAGCAACAGTACAATTATTCGTGCGGTGTTTCCATCTTGTTAAATTCTAGCCGCACAGAGCCTATAGTTCTATATACTTGTAATTGTCGTAAAACGCAGCAATACAACATACAAAGTGATTTGATGGAGGTTATATTTCATTTTCCGTTGTGCTAAATCTTGTTTTAACTTTATTTTGTCCAGATATTGAAGAGGAAGAATATAGCCGTGCATATTCGCAAGCTCTCCATGAAGGTGAAGCAAAAAATAATCGAATTCCGATTATGCTGGTCGGACAAGACCGAGGCGGAAAGACTTCGCTGATGAGACGTCTTTTAGGATTACCATTCGACAAAGATCAATCCAGTACCGTTGGTATTGACGTTAATGTTATCGAGCTAACAGAACATAATGCGGAAGATCCCTGGAAAAGGAGAGAAGTGAAGAAGTTTATGACCAGTGAAAATGAGGCAAAGACTGTATTATACAAAAAAACTGCTGAGTACCTTGATAGAGGAGTTCAGAGGAATTTAGAAGGGGATGTGGCAGAGCCATTGAAGCCAGTGACGCCAATAAAGTCAGTGATGCCAGTGAATCCAGTGAAGCCATTGCCAGTGAAGCCATTATTGAGAGAAGAAATCTTTAAAATCGAATCGCAGAGGTCCACTGAACACGACCAGAACGAAGTTCTTCGGGTATTTGTAAGTGACTTTGCTGGACAGTCAATCTATTACGATACCCATGGCTGCTTTGTGAAACCGCATTGCCCTTATGTTTTGGTTTACGACCTTTCTCTGGAGTTTGATAAACCCGCCGTTCCCAAATTTAAAACAAGTAATGAAGAGGAAGAGATAGAGATGAACAATCCTCATCTGAATACCAATTTAGATAATTTTACATCATGGTTGAAGTTCCTGCAAGGTTTAGGAGAATGCCAAGATCAACAGTTTCCTGATAAATCTGGTCACTTTACCACTGCAAAGGGTGAGAACTTTAAACTGCCACCAGTTTTAATAGCCTTAACTCACAGTGATGAGGTGAAAGGCAACGACAGCAGAATAGATTGTGTACAGAAGAGAATAAAAAAGGTCTTATCTGGAGGAAATTATGAGAATGTTGTCCCAGAGTTTTTCGTGATCGACAATACATTGGAAGACGACGACGGAGACGACGTGCGAAAGGTTCGTAGAAAGCTTTTTGACCTCTCGAATGCAGTCCTTAACCAGGAGATTTTAATGCCTGTGAAGTGGCTAAATTTTGAAGTTGCTCTAAGCCGGAAAGATTGCAAGTATATCCCAGTTGACGAAGCTAAGCAGGAAGCGAAGGCCTGTGGCGTTGGTGAGTTTGATCAAGCTATCAAATTTCTACACCGCCAAGGTGTGGTCGTGCACCACAGTGGATCCAGCAAGGTTGTATTGGATCCTCACTGGCTAATGAATCGCTTTACGAAAGTGATCTCCATGCCCGGCAGATTGGATGCCTTGTCCAGGTACACTCTTGACGTGTTCAGGCAGAACGGCATTTTGTTTCGAGAATATCTTCAGAAGCTGGAAGACGGAAAACTGTTAGAAGAGCTTATGCAAAAGTTTAATTTGATTTGTCTTTGCCAGCACGAGGGAAAAACTGCTTTTTATGTCCCTTCAGTTGCCCCAGCTATGAAACCAGGAAAGGAGTTGGAAGCTAGCAATGTTCCATCGCTGTTTGTGACATTTCCTCGCAAACTTGTACCGATGGGCCTGTTTACGAAACTTCAAGTGAAATTGATTTCTGAGTGGGAAAAGCGCTTCCCCAATCAACAAGCCACGCCTTTCTTCTACTGCAACTATTCCTTGCTTCCGCTTATTATAGACGGCGACGTGTATGATGTTTGTTTAATCGACCTCCACGAGTTCATCAAGGTTGCCGTTTTTCCAAAACAGGATGGCGACCATTTCAAGTTTGCCAGTCATCTCAAAACCACTCTGAAAAAGTGTTTGGACGACCTTAAATCTCCAGACCAACTATTATTCAGCATGACCAGCTATGACCTCGAAGTGAAATGTACCTGCTGCTTTGGTAAAGAAGAAAGAAAATGTTCTCGTCATCGTGAGATCCATTGTCATTCAGACCGTTGTGGGCACCGCCACTTCTGGAAGCTTAGTGACCTTCAGAGATTCTACAACGATAAATCCCCTGCAATTTGCCAGTTGAACAAACACTTGTCCGAGAAGTTTGACATAAAGAGTGTAAAAAATTGGCTCAATACTGGTAAGTGGCTAATGCTAAA